ATCTTCTGCCCATTGAGGCGTCTTCTCGTCGCATCGCCGACGAGGCAGGCTTCCCCACCAGCATAAGGATCGTGGTCTTGGAGTTTTGTGAGTGTGGATTTGTGCAAAAGAGTCTTCGGCACATCGTCCCGAAGTCTCCAATGTATCCTTGTGCTGCTTTACGAAGCAAGCAAGGTAATCGGTTGCAATCCCATTTACTTCTTTTAACCATTGCCCATTCAATAAATCATATCAACATTTTCAGAATAGGTCGGCTTTGAGAACATTAGCCGCCCAAAAGTGATTTTTAGGAAATGATTGTGTGTTTTCCCACATAATCACACGAGTAGGCCTCAGAATACGGTTGAATTTCCCTTAAACTTACCTTTAAAAGGACACTCTCCTGCAGGCCGGACTGGAGTGGACTGCAGTTTCGACCCCGCCTGACTGGTCTCATTAGTGCCTCTAGCAGGATTCGAGCCTTACTCGTGAGTGTCATGGCCCAGTTACCACTCCGCCATACAGCCAAAGGACGAATGTGGCATTCAAGGCAAGCCTGGCGCCTACCAAATCACACTTTATAGTGAAATGGTGGATTGGGCAGGCATGCATTTTCCATTGTAATCGACGCCTTTACTTACTTTTGCAATAAGTAGTTTTTAAAATTATAATTAATTCATAAATGATAACTCAAACCGCCTTACCTTTTGTTTATAAGTAGGTTTCTAATATGGCCAAGATATTTACTATAAGAACTATATTCGCCCAATTTCGTTGAAGGCGATGAAGGACTGTTAGTTGACTTTTTCCACAATCGTACGAGTAGATCTTACGTCCCCCAAAAAGGTATTGTCATACAGGCTGGAGTGGACTGCACTTTCGACTTTGCTTGAACTGATCTCATCAGCTTCCTCAGTGGGACTCGAACCCGGCTCGTGGTCATGCAGCCTTTAATCTCGACACGTTAATTTCTACGTCAGATGAATACATCTCATTAAAAAATCTTATGCGACCGAGCGTGAATAAATTCAATATGAAAGCAATAAGAAAAGGAAGATGGTCGTTTGCGACCCTGCAGGCTTTTATATCCTATGTCCTCCAAACCAGACACCTCAATTGATAGATGAATATCCCAATACTCATATGAGTAAGACTTACGTCTTCTTTGCATCTCATATAGTCTTGTTTCCCTCAAGTAAGGTAACCCACCTTTGGTTTTCTTCTGCTAGTCGGCTTGGATACAATGACGTTCAGACTTTGGCTTTTACACTTTTAGATTTGCACATTGTCGTCGGCTTCGAGTAAAGAGCTGAGTCTGGACAATATTGGGGACACAGGCTTTTTCTACGACTTGGGATGCTGTGGTAAGTCTGTCGCAGAGCAACTTAAAGCCTTTCTGTGAAGCAATTTGTGGTCTGCTTTTTGGGTACCTTTCATATTGCTGAAAAGCCTTTTCTAATCCTTCTTTTGCTGAATAGGTCCGAATAGGACTGAATAGTCTTCATGATGCTCACAGCTCGAGAAGTAATAAAGTTCTGGTAAAGTGTTATTCTGAGTTCTCTAGGTGGCATGGTATCGGAGATTCTTAAGCTCATAGAAAACATGTTAATTGGGAACTAGGCTCGAGCAGGCAGATGATTACGGAAGCTTAAAGGTTTGATTTTTCGCATAAACCTTTTGGAAGACATGTAGAACAAGACGGTGTGATCAGCTTTTGTGTATAATACTGGTTTGTTGAGCTTACTTCCAGTTCGAGTGAAAGTGTGCGGTGAACAGATTCGAAGGTCGATTCTACCAGAAGACGACGGCAGATTCCTCTTGACAAGCTGTTCATTGGCTTTACTGGAGCATTCTTGTTGACGCTGTTTCTAAGGTAATCTCCTTCGATTCCGGTGAAAACGTGCTAAGCTTTTGTCTGTCATATGACGAACATTATCAGAGCAAGGTATCATCGTCACAACAAAATTCATGATAACGAATCCCTAAAAAGTGGTATATATACTCCTCAACTTGACTCGTTAGCTTGAATTCGGTTGCGACGTTGTTAACTTGCTCTGAAGATGTTCGTCATATGAAGGACGAAAGCTCAGCACCTTTTCACTGGAATCGAAGGAAATTAGCTCGAAAACAGCATCAACATGAATATTCCCGTAAAGCCAATCGACAGCTGGTCAAGAGGAATCCGCCATCGTCTTCTAGTGGAATAGACCTTCCAATCTCTTTATCTAAAATGGAAGTAAGCTCAACAATTATGAAACAAGACAGTCCTCGAAACCCAATTTTTCTTCGCATATAATAGTGGTTTTACCTCGTCTTCGCAACATGATCATGCTGTCAAAACGACTTAGATGAACGCACATTTTCCAGAATCCTCTATCCTGGAAGTCATTCTAGCTTTTTAAATGTATCAAGTCCATAGCCCTTGCACTCCGAACAAGAAACGTTCGCACAGGTCGTCCTGGCAGCATGACCAAGTTACGATAGCAATGTCCAACTACTTCTAAACCCTAATAAGTTACCCACTTAGTTCGAAGTTGCCACGAAAATGAACACTTTGCAATCGTCACTTTTACTTTCACTTTCATTCTTTGAGCAGCTAGACTTACCGGCCAGCGTATAAACCATTTTTGTGTTTATTGCCGGTTTGACCTCGTTTTCGCAACTTGTGGGACATAGTTAATTCTATTTCCTCCACCACAGCATACATCTGGTACATTTCTAGCCGTTTAGTCGGAATCCTCTCTGCCACCAGTGAGAGACGCAATGACTTACAACTTTTAAAAGTGGCGAGTTAGCGAGCATCTTGTTTGTTTTTAAAGCCGAGTTGGTTTAATTGGGTAGTGCCCTTTCAACATACCTCTCCAGTTGGATCTCAAAGAACCCAGCCGAAGAAAGATTGGCTAAACTTCTCGACAAGCTGTTCAGAGAAGCCGTGCCTTGGCAAAACTTGCATGAGAAAAAGAAACTTCATTCAAATCGTTGGACCAAACTGTATTATTCTTCGAACTAGATCCACTTTCCCTCTCGTCGTGCAAAACTTCAGACAGAAGGGTTACTCTTTTTCGTGTCACCCTCTTTCGTTTATAGTGATTAGGAACTGGTAGTTCAATTTTCCCACAATAATATGAGTAGACCTTATATTTCCATTAAATTTCACATAGCCTTGCTTCCCAAAAGGTGTTCTCATTCAGGCCGGAGTCGACTGCATTTTCGACCTAGCCTATGTCTCAGCAGCAGCACTAGCAGGACTCGAACTCGGTTTGTATTAGTGCAGCATATAGCCTCGATATGTTACCCACTATGGCAGAATGACATTTGTGTCCTCGGGCCACAAAGCAGAAGGGAATTTCAATGAAGTCTAGGCCTTTCTCAAATCACTTGCTGTGGTGCGATTGTCAATGCAACAAAGTTAAAGTTGTAATTGTCCGGGGGACTTTCATTTAGTATGAAAATGCATAAAGAAGAGATTCGAAGGTGGATCTCACCAGACGTTTGACATTTAGACGACGCTCAGTTTGATGCAGTACACGAGACCTCTCTCTTTTAGAGTAAAAACGGCCTGAGCTTTCGTCCAGCATACGATGGACATCATCAAAACTGGGTCTTATTCCTGTAAAAGTCTCACGTTAACACCACCGCAAGAAGACTATCCGGCTCTATCTTACCTCTTATATTGACTCAATTAAGGAAAAGGAAAGCTAAAGCTTAGATTGATATAGAGTGGTTTGACTAATTATCTTTCATACTGGTCCAGTCTCGAGTATGTGCGTGTGTGTATGTGTGTATTTGTGTGTGTTAGACATGAGACTTTTATAGGAATGGGGCCCAGCTCTGATGGTGTCCATCGAATGATGGACTAAAGCTCAACCCGTTTTCACTCTAAACGAGAGAGGAAGTCTCGTGGACTGTATCAATCTGAACATCGTATTAAAGACAAACGGCTGCAGTACAACGGGATTCATCCGTCCTCCTCTGGTGAAATCGACCTATGAATCTCTTCTTCATGCACTTTCATACGAAATGAATGTCTCCCCAGCAATATTTATATTTATTTCCATTTATAAGTAAGTTTTTTAGATTACAGACAGACCTACTTATAACGAATATAAGTAATGTAGTCAATTTTACCTGCAAATTCAACTTTCTTCCTCAGCATTCCAATAGCATTAATTTGATATGGGAAAGGCCGCGACTTTCTTGAAATTCACTTCTTTCCTGTGATCCTAAAGCACTTGGGTCAGTATGGTGCTAGGTTAACGTGTCGAGACTAGATGCTGTACTAGCACAACCTGGGCTCGAGTTCTGCTAGGAGTGCTGATAAGACCAGTTCAGGCGAGTTCGAAACTGTACCTTATTCTTATCTGGATGAGAATACTTTTGGGGAAGCAAGGCTATGTTAAATAAAATGGCGCAGTCAGGCCTACTGATATTATTTTGGGAAAATTTAATTGCCCTTCCCTTATCACCTTAAATGAAATAGGAGCAGTAAAAACCATTGGTAGTCTCAGAAACCTACTTAAAAATGAAACTATGGGGGGCTTCTGCCTGAAGGATCGGAGAGTTGTTTCATTGTCGGCCGCGTGCTGCCTCTGAGATTTGGAGTCAACTAATGGTTTGTCTCAGCATCTCTGAGCAGAGACTGAGAACGATCATATTGGGTGGACCACCATTTGTCTGCAAGAGTCTCTGTCGGGCGAATGGATTGTTGTCTGGACTGTTGCCGCCCCAGTCAATTAGCAGGGCTAGCTTGGAGACAGATGGGGTTCAAACCGATATATGTTGATACGCCGAGTTCAGCTTCGGAGTATTTGTCCAATTTGTGGCCAAATTTATCATCGAAACGTTAATTATTTCTCACATAATAGGAAAAACTTTATTTTTTGCTGATTTGTAGGCAAAGTTAAAAAAGTTAGCTTCTTTACGATTGAAGGTATGAAGACCAAGATGGTGTGACCTTTTGTGTGGTCGCAGCCTCCTTTCGTTGTATAGAGGTTGTTTGACCTT